TACTACTACTACTACTACTACTGCTACTACTACTACTACTACTACTACTACTTATTATTTTTATTATTATTATTATTATTATTATTATTATTATTGAGTAGATAGAGTTGATACATAATTTTAAAAGGTCACATGAGCTGTAGTGTTCTGAAAGAAAAGGTTATTTTCAGAAGGTTCTTTAGTATATCCTCTAGGAAATTGGTTAATATCAACTCTGACTACTTTTAAAAGCAGTGTTAGCTTTGTTATACTCGTAATGCCTTGGAGGCGCATTGACTGTATTTACTCATTTTCATCATTTGATTTTCTTACTTTTCTCAGTCTTCCTCCTCAGTGAAATTTACACTGTAAATTCTTTGGAGCAAGGATAATCCCTTTTGCTTATGCTGTTCTGTAAAGTGCTGTGTACATTAATTATGCAAATTAAATAATTATATTGCCACACTTGCGTGCTTATTAAGTAATTTACAAACAAGAAAATATATCCGCATCCAAACTGGTTTATGGTCTCCAAGAACTGTGTTTTAAAAACACAAAAAGAATAGCGAAGCTGGGGGAGCATGAAACTGAAGCTTAAAATAGTTAAACTGATGAAAATCAAAAGAGAAATAAATATTGAGGGAAAAGCCAAGGAAGAGAGCTATATTTTGTGCATTTCTTAAAGGGTGGGGTGGGGTGCCTGAAAGGTTTATGAAGAGCATCTCATACACAAAGAGAATATGAAAAAGACAAAAATGTTTAACTTGAACCACAGGTCCTGGGGTGTTATTAGATAAACTAGTTTTGAGATTAAATAATTTAGTTTGATTCATTAGAAACTGGAAATATTGGAAGTGTTTGCTATGGTGGACCAAATGGAGTTCTCAATGATACCTTTCTAAATGGGGATAAGACTTTTACTACTCCCTTTCTGATTGGATGGAGATCTTCCATAAAATGGTCCTTGACATTTAGTAGGTTTTTGGAGGCATTTGTTTTATCAAGTGGTTATATGTATACCAAGAGGAATTGACTCATGGGAACAGCTGACTTCCTGGCTTGATTAAAGTGGAAGGTTAAAACTGTGCTGTTGAAGAGATGAGTGTTTGCGTGACTCATCTTGTTTAGATGAGGAAGGCTGAAGAAGAGGATTGCCATGCAGGTGGTGCAGTTTACCAGTTGGGTGCTCCTCCTTATGTAGTAGCAGCACAGGGCAAGCACTGGCAAATTAAAAGGCTGAAACAAAGCTTTGAGATGGAAAGGGGGGAAATGGAAAGGAAACATTGAATGATGATAAAAATAAAGAATCAAGGATCAGACAAATATTTTTGGTGAAAAAAGCAAAGGAGTTAACATCAGTATTAAACAGAGAACAAATGAAATAATGAAAAAAGAAGATATAACACTTCCTTTGTACTAATACCTTTTTGTCAGACAAAAGTAATATTTTGATTCTTCCCTTTTAAGACAGTAATCTCAGATTGTGTTTAGAGTGCTGTTTCCACTATACATGCCTCTGTCTAATAGATGTTCAACATGGTTAAAACAGTGCTTAACATAGATATTCTTTAGACCAGGGCTGTAGAAACATTTTAGATTTCCAGACATCAGCATGTGCCTGAAATTTTTACAGCCCACTAAGTGGACTGTAGATATCAGTCAATAGTTGGTTCATTCTTCTGCAAACTATTGTGTCTTCTCAAAGTTCTATAGAAAGGGCCTGGTACACTTTTTTTAAATTTAGGAGTGTCAGCTTCTTTGATGAATGGGAACTACAAAACTGCTTTGAATGATAATCTATTTCCAACTTTATCAATGCCTTGAAAACTTTGGCTGGAGAAACCTATTTGTTTTATGATAGCGGCCGAAAACTGAAGTGTGCATAGTTTTTTTCAAATTACTGCAGAATTCTCTCAGTCTCTGAAGTGGTTGATAGGATTTTTTTTTCTCTACTAGCTTATAGTTTCTCCAGAATGGGAAAGAACTGATAGCTATAAGTACTGTATTAGTAGAATCGCCTTATACATAAACAGTAGTAACACTTGAATAAAGTTATAATAATAATAACTTTATAACAAAGTAAGAATAGCTATCACATTGCTAGGATAATGCAATGCCTGAGCTACAATTCAGAAAGTCATAACATTCCCCTGCTAACTTACTTTATCCAGGCCACTTTCTCTCACCTTCCACTGCCCACTCCCAATACTGACCAGCTTGCTGTGTTGACGTAAGGTTTACAAAACTATAGGCCAAAATTATTTTGCTTAATGTAGGAAACAGCACACATTTAGGCCCAGTGACTAAATGGAAGTTTAATGAGTCAGTTCTTCCATAAATTTCATTGATTCAAATAAGCTTAGTCTAGCTGCAGTTTTTTTGACCAAACTCCGGGAGGCAGTGGAAGACAGGAGGGCCTTGCGTGCTCTGGTCCATGGGGTCACGAAGAGTCGGACACAACAACTAAACAACAACAGAGCTGCAATTTACTATGCTGAAGTAAGTCACAGTTAGAGTAGGCCCAATTAAATCAATGGAATGTACAGATAAATTGGCTTGCCAAATCCCCATTGATTCAGTGGGCCAGTCAACATCAATCCTGGGGAAAATTCTGGAGCACATTGTGAAGTTAGTGTGCAAGCAGCTTGAAAACAATTATAACTAGAAGCCAGCACAGATTTGTCAAGAACAATCCTGCCAGACTAATCTTATTACATTTTTTAATTGGGTAACTTATCTGGAAGAAAGTGGGAATGCTGTAGATGTAATATACGGTATCTTGACTTCAGCAAAGCTTTTGACAAAGTACTCCATGATATTCTGATTAGTAAACTAACTAGGCATGTGGTGGATACACAATTGGTTATGGAATCATGCTCAGAGTGTGTTTATCAATGGTTTGCCTGTGAGGAGGTAACAATCGGGGTACCACAAGGCTCAGTCCTGACAATAGCGTAGCATGGGTTGCCAGCACCCAGGGCTGGGCAAGTATTGCAGGGCACTGGTCATGTGCCAGCTCTGACGCAATGCATGGACAGGGCAGGGCAGGGCATGGAGGCAGGGTGGGTAAAACCCCTGGGGTGTTGCCATGAAGTGGCTATGGAGCCGCTTGAAGTCAGCACTGACAGCTCAAACTCAGACTACCAGGAAAGGGAACAGGAGTGTGAGGATTGGCTGTACAAGCACGCCAAGCGGAGCAACCCACACACCCCTAAGAATTTTGCACCCAGGGCGACTACCACTGTAGCCCCCACACACACACCACTGATTTCCTAAGCCTGGTGCTCTTCAACATTTTTGTTAATGACTTGGATGAATGAGTGCTTATCAAACTTGTAGATGACACAATTGGGTGGAATAGCTAATACCCTGGAATATGGGGGGGGCGGGGGTTGGAATTCAAAAAGTTCTTGATAGACTCAAGCACTGGGCTGAAAACAACAGAAAGAAATTTAACAGGGATAAGTGTTAAGTTCTATACATAGGGAAAAAACAAACACACAGTTACAAGATGGGGGATATTTGGCTCACTAATACTGCATGCAAGGAAGATCTTGGAATTGTTGTAAATCATGATCTGAATATGAGCCCAACAGTGCAGTTTGGCTACAAATAAGACAAATGATATTTTAGGTTGCATTAACAGAAATACAGTTGCCAAATCACATTAAGAACCAGCTCGCCTCAATTTGGCACTGGTTAGGCCACATGTTGAATGCTGTGTCCAGTTCAGACAAACTGTAACAAGCTCAGAGGAGGACAATAAGCATGATCAAGGGGACTGTAAACTAAGCCCTAAGAGGAAAGACTGAAAGAACTGGGCATGATTAGTCTTGAGAAAAGAAGTCTGAGGGGAGATATGATATCATTTTTCAATTTCTTAAAAGATTGCTATACAGAGGAGGGGTAGGATTTGTTCTTGATCATCCCAGAGTGCAGGACATGGAATAATGGATTCAAGCAATAGGAAGATTGATTTTAATTGAATAGCAGGAAAAACTTCTTAACTGTTAGAGCAGTACGAGAATGGAACCAATTACTTCAGGAGGTGGTGAGTGCTCCAGTGCTAAACACTTTTAAGAGAAATTTGACAACCACCTGGCAGATATCCTTTGATTTGGATTCCTGCCTTGAGCAGGAGTTTGGACTGGATGGCTTTATAAGATACCTTCCAGTTCCATTATTCTATAATTTTTCTGTGATTCTAATGGGATTTACAATCCTAAACAACAGGATTTTGGCCATACTACAGCTACAACTGCAAGAGTCTATTCATAAATGTTTTTATGAGAATGCCACATTATCTAAATATCAGTTCAGTGGAGGGCACTGCTGAAATAGTGTGGTGAATTGGTTATGAAAATTAGATTGGGGCTGCATATATAATAATAGCCGGAGCGTGCAGAGGCAGGTGTTGAGAAAGCTAATATAAACTTTAGGAGCATGCAGACATATTGACATTCTTAACTGTCATATACAGTGGTGCCTCGACTTACGAACTTAATTGGTTCCGGAACTCCAGTCGTAACTCGAAATGGGTGTAAGTTGAAGCACTGTTTCCCATAGGAATACACTGAAATGCAATTAATCCATTCCGACCGAAGGAAAAAAATCACCAAAAAAACACAACAACCCTGTAAGACCCATCGGAAACGCGATTAATCCATTCTGGCCGAAGGGGGGGGAGCAAACAAACTGTGCAAGACCCTTCGGAAATGCAGAAAAAGCAAAGCAGAAAGCAAACAAACCCTGCGAGCCCCATCGGAAATGGGGGGGGGGACCTCGAAAAACAAACAAACCCTGCAAGACCCATCACAGCATAGAAACGTAATCTCACCACCCAGCCCAAAACCATGCTGCAAAACCCATCCAGAATAGTTTTTAAAAAGTAGAAAGCGGCACTTTACCAGGCAGTCCGAAGCCTCCTCCGATCGCGCACTCTCTAACTGCTGGGGCGAAAGCAGTTTCTTCGCCACCAACGGTTAGTAATTTGAATTCCTCGCCTTTTCCCCCTGCCTTTTTCTGGTCCGGTCGCAAGTCGAAGCAAAAGTTTGCGGCTGGAGCTGGTTGGAACTCGAAATGGTCATATGTTGGGATGTTGGTAAGTCGAGGCACCACTGTATCAGGACCCTGGACAGCTAAATGTTTTAGTTCCTCAGGATAGCAGTTTGTGGCAGAGAAGGAAGATCCACAGTGTAGGCATTCCACAGCTCTTTCATCGGAAGAGTCACAGGCAGTTTCAGGCACTGACCGCATAAAGGTTGTTTTTTGTTTGTTTGTTTTTTACAACAAATCTAATTGCTTTCTACCATTCAGGTACTTTTTGCTATTTGCTATTTTTCTGTTTTATGTTACTTGTTGTAAACTGCCCAGGATGGGCCTTGGCTGCCAGATGGGCAGTATACAAATCAAATAAATAAATACAATTAAAATTTTGCCCCAGCCAGTGCAGTGCATTGGTATTACATGTACCCCATGTTGGCTTTCGGTGTCATGATGGTGAGAAACAGGAGTGACATTCTTTGGCCCTCCTGGGTGGTAGAACCCGGAAATTCATAGAGTGCAGGTAGAACAAGACATTACACCTTAAACTTAAAAATAAACATTAGCTGCAGGATCGAGATTAATACATTGGAACCCTCTAACACGTTGGAACCATTATATGTAAGTCAGATAATACCACATAATTGACTCAATGCAGTTATTTAACCTGATGGATGTTAATTAATCTCAGTATCTATTTGTGTACAAATAACAGCAACATCTGTCTGCCAAGCCAAATGTATATAACATCTGTCAGAAGTCAAGTGATTTATTGTCTAATCTAGCATAAGAATAGGATGTGTCCTTTTCCTTTTTTCTAGTTAAGGAAGTAAAAAAGGAAATCTGCTTCTTGTGCAATTATGTGACGCGACACATAATCAAAAGTAAATTCCAAATAATTCAGAAGGAGGTTCTTATGTAAACAAAAAGGACTAATGCCAACATCATTAGTATTTTAATTCTGCTTTACTATTATGTCTAGTTCAAGAGTTTACTATGAAATAGATCTTTCTTTATGTTTATTACTGCACTATTTATTTATTTATTTATTTATTTATTTATTTATTTATTTATTTATTTATTTATTTATTATACTTTTATCCTGCCTTTCTCCTTAAAAATGGACCCATAGCAGCATATATCATGAAAAAGATAATCTTTTAAAACTAAAAATAGTAACTATGTAAATATTTTAAAAGAATTAAACAAATATTTTATTAAAAGTAAAATCAATACTTAAAACATTTAAAAGCAACAAGGCACAACAATCTATTTAAAAACCTCTCTCAGACAGCTAGTCACTAAGGAAAAGCCTACCTGAAGATAAAGGTGTTTGCCTGCTTTCATAAGGACAGCAACAATGGGGCCAGCCTGGCCTCCCATGGGAACGATTTTCAGAATCTGGGAGCATCAACAGAGAAGGCCCTCTCCTGTGTCTCCACTGAACATACCTATGTGGGTGGGTGGAACTGAGAGAAAGGCCTCCCCTGATGATATTAACAACCGGGCAGGTACATAAAGGGAGATGAGGTCCTTGAGACAGCTTGGATCTAAATTGTGCAGGACTTTGCAGGTTAGAACCAGCACTTTGAATTGTGCCCAGAAACTGATTGGCAGTTAATGGAGCTGCTGTAACAAGGAGATTATTTGATCCCTGTGTAACCAACCCTGGTTAACAATCCGGCTGCAACATTTTGGACCTGCTGAAGTTTCCAAACACTGTCCAAAGACATCCCCATGAAGAACATATTACAGCAGTTCAGAACTTGGATCCTGATCATCTCACGGTCTGTGGTCTGGTCTCTTGTTTTGACTGAAAGTGGTCCAAAATACATTCCTACGCTGTTTTTAGTAATTCTATTTTGTCATATATTTTAGAATTATATTTTCACTTAATGTTTGTTGAAGGTTGCAACGATGATTTCCTGAAATGAGAGGTGGATATTTTGAACCTTCAAATGTTGTTGCACTATTAAGCTCCCATCATCTCCCATTGTACCTTTTGTAGTGCTGGCTGGGGGTAATTGGAATCTGGAGAACATTGTTCCAGATCATGGCCAATGCAGACTCTTGATGAGATGAAGGGACAAGGAGGAGAAGGAGGAGATGGTGGTTAACCCCATTTTTAAAAAGTGAGTAAATAAAAACCAAATGTAGTTTCCTGACTAGAGACAGGCACAAAACTTGGTTCAGAGGTGCATGCCAGTTTGTAAAGGCGTCACCACAGATGCTGTGCATTCCCCTCCCCCACCTCCCCAGCTGGATCTCTCACTTCCCAGATGGCCCCTGCTGCTCTCCTTGTTCTCTTCGGCTTTTCAGCCAGACCCCAGCAGGATCCCTCACTCCCCAACTTCCCTGCCCCACTTCCTTGGCTGATCGCCCAATCAGACCACATCACCACAGATGCTGTGCATTCCCCTCCCCAGCAGGATCCCTCACTCCCCAGCTTCCCTGCCCCACTTCCTTGGCTGATCACCCAATCAGACCACGATGCAGGGCAGGCAAGCCTGTGCTCCTTCTGGGGACTGGCTGAACAGCAGAAGAGAACAAGGAGAGGAGCATGCACTGCCTGGTAAGTAGCGCATTGACCAGGGAGGTGGGAGAAGGTAACATGTGGCACCTGGGGTGCTGTGCTTATGGACCGGCACAAACCTACCAACCAAGGTTTATGCCCATCTCTATTTCTGACCCTTTTACCCCCCCAGCCCTCAAGTAGGAAATACGTTTCTGCTTACTTTAATTTGTGTATGAGAGTTATGGGATGGCTTTCATAAAGACCCTCTCACTTTTGATGATCTCATACAAGAGCATACTTTGGAGGCTAAATAAGGAAAATAATATGGGTGGAACTTGCAACAAAATGTTGCAGTATGGGTGTTCCTGTGAAGATTCTCAGCCATCCAGGTGAAGTTATCTGGAAGTCGAGTCATGGCAACTGGACTTCTTTCTTATTAGGTTGAAATGTTTTGCTACTCATCCAAGACTGAAGAAGCTACTTGAATGAGTAGCAAAGCGTTTTAGCCTAATAAGAAATAAGTCTAGTTGCCATGACTGAACTTTCAGATATGGGTATTCTTGTTCAATGAACCTTAATGCCATTCCATGCCTCATTTCAAGATATGCTGTTCCATTTCCTATCCCCAGAAGGATACAGGGGCCATAGAGTATTCTTGGCCCAGACTGGGCTTTTGGAACACCCTTAGTTTAAGGGACGTGGTGGCGCTGCGGGTTAAACCACAGAAGCCTCTGTGCTGCAAGGTCAGAAGATCAAGCAGTTGTAAGATCGAATCCACGCGACAGAGTGAGCTCCTGTCTCTTGTCCCAGCTCCAGCTGACCTAGCAGTTTGAAAGCATGTAAATGCGAGTAGATAAATAGGTACCACCTCGGTGGGAAGGTAAACGGCGTTCCGTGTCTAGTCGTGCTGGCCACGTGACCACGGAAACTGTCTTCGGATAAAAACGCTTGCTCTATGGTTTGGAAACGGAGATGAGCACCGCGCCCCAGAGTTGGACACGACTGGACTAAATGTCAAGGGCAACCTTTGCCTTTACCTAGTTTCCCCATTGCCAGAAAAATGTTTCTTATATTACTGAATACTTTGGGATTCTCCTGAGCATGTTAATGGTTCCCTCTTGTGACTCATTTGGGCTAACTAGCTAACCCAGCACCAGTATTTACTGGTAGATTTTACAATTGGTTTTCATTTTAAGATATATATGAACATTTATCCTATACAGTCGTGCCCCGCTTTACAATTACCCCGCATTCATGACGACATTTTTGCGATCGCTTTTGCGATTGTGGCGATCTCCTCTGAAGCCCCTATTCCCTCAGGTCTTCATGAGGTTCTCGCTCTTCTTTCTTCGCTGCCACCAGGTATTGCTGCTTCAATACGATTTAATCAAGGAGACAAGTGTGCTTTTAAAACGTAACTCATTTATTAGATCAGGGAAGTTAACATCTGATTAATATTCAATAAGTAAATCACCGGTTGCTAATCACTTGTATTTGTATCAGTTCTACTTTGACTTTAAATCTCTAATAACTCTCTGTACCATTCAGTATTCTTACAGAACTCTAACCCACTCTAAGTTCACTTTTAAGTTTCACACTGTCTCTCACTCACAGAATCTCTCTTCATACTCCATACACCAGCCTTTATATCCAGCCCCCTTCCCGCTTGGTTCCACCTTCCGTCCTCTCATTGGCTTCTTCTCCACTGTTCAGCTATGACGGACAGGTGAGGGCAGGGCTGTTCGCTACAGCGATCGCGAAACGATGGTCTAAATAGGGTTTTTTTGCTTTGCGATGATCGGGAACTGATTCTTCACAAAACGATGTTTTTAACAGCTGATTGGCGGCTTCAAAGTGGCCGCTGGGTTATTAAAATGGCTCCCCGCTGTGTTTAGGGACGGATTCCTCACTATACAGGCACCGCAAATGGCTGCCGTATGGAGGATCTTCGCTGGATGGTGAGGTTTTAGCCCATTGGAACGCATTGAATGGTTTTCAATGTGTTTCAATTGGCTTTTTATTTTCGCTTTACAATGTTTTTGCTTAATAGTGATTTTCCTGGAACGGATTATCGCCGTTAAGCGAGGCACCACCGTATTGGGAATATGTTACCTTAGATTGTGGGGGAGCTGGCTGAAAAATAGGTTACCACTGAAGACAAGTTATTATGTGTTGCGAAGTGACTTATGACTTAAATGACTCTAAATAAGGGTTTGTGCGATGTCCAAGAAATGGTTTACCATCGCCATCCCCTGAATGAGTTTCAGTGGGCGAGGAGGGATTTAAATCTGGATCTGCTGAATGTTAATCTTTCACTTTTATCCACGATACCATGCTGGCTGTCTTAAGACAGGAGTCTTCTGTTAATAGTGTTTTTCTTCATATGTGAAATTTACTTAATTATTTGGTTTTAGAACATTTGAATTTGCAGCCTGCCTATATGCAAGTGAATATGAAGCTTCTAGGTGCAGCTGACTGTAGAAATTGTTCTTTCTGTGTCCCCCCCCCCTTTTGTGTTGTTCTTCATCTCTCCTCCCTTTTGAGCCATTCTGTTCCATTCTCCCATCCAGTTACCAGGTTTCTTGCTCCCTCTTGGGCTCTAAATATTCTGTGCCACTGAGTACTTCTGGGTTTAGATTCAACCACCATCCCTTGGGGGTTTTAAAGAAAGGGTTTCTTGGATTTCTGCAAACCTTGGCATTCTTCTAGTGATGCCTCCCTCTTTTGCATAGGTCCTGCCACTTTGACTTTACAACAGTGGGCACCTTTCCCACTGAAATTTGGAAACAATGTATGATGAACTGCTGGCTAGCTGAGTGGCTTAGGTCCCTGGCTGCAAAGCCAAAGTTTGGGAATTCAGTTCCCACTGTGCCTCCTTGAGAGGGACTGGACTCGATGATCCATACACTTTCAGTTCTGCACTTACTTCAAAGGAGGTTGTTGTTGTTGTTATTATTATAATATAATGATTCTACTAATGGAGGAAATACTGTAGTCTAGCACATGGTTCATGGTCATTGTGCGTGTGCAAACCAAATATTGTGACACCAGTTCCATAATTTATCTGATTAAGAATGGAAGGTCTGAAGCAGCTCTTCAGTCTATTTCATTGTGGTGACTTTTATACTTCAGGTTTCAGGACTGAGCCCCAGTGGTTGATCTCATCAGGGAAAAATCAGTGACTCATATTTCCATTGAGAGAAATATAATTTGCAGTTTCTCAGCAACGGCCCACGCAACTGTTTCAAGTGTTGTGTAACAGCATGTTCAGAACTAACAGATCATCTTTGAATGCCTTGGGGTTATTTTTATTGGAGCTCTTTGTGTGCAGACAAGTGGTGGTATTGACTGTGAAATGCTGATTTGTTCTGTAGGTGTAATACCACACATGACGGTTACATATAGCGGAAGTTCTGAAACAAACTAGAAGACAAGGAACTCAAGTTTCTTCCCTCGTCGAAGCAGATAAAACCAGGGAAGGCAGAGACAGCAGGAAAAACCCATCCTGTTGAATTACTCCCAAGGGGGAAGCAAGAGGCTTCTACTATGTGTGCATTCTGGTTCTCCTGCTTCAGGATTTTTGTTGTTTTAGCAGGAAGAAATATTTCTTTTCCTGTTTCACACATGCCTTAATGCACTTTTTGTGCACTTTATTTCAAATGGCTCTAAAAAAGTCACATGGTGGCCCTCTCCAAGAAACAGATCCCCCTTTCCCATGTGTGTCATCCTTGCCCCCCCCCGGTTCTCCTAGAAACACACATGTGGCTTCCTGGCTTACATGGCCTTACTAGTGCTGTGCTGCAAAGTGCCTGCACAATTTGGGATAGGTAGAGTAGAATTTATGCACAGACAGAGATAGTTATGAAAATGTGAATAATTGGGAGTAATGTGTTTAATCATTACAGTACTCCATAAAATTAGAGCTGGTCACTTAAAGAGGTATACAACCAGGTTCCAGATTCAGACCAAGAACTTGGAAACATTATTTTTGGGGACTATAGCTTCTTATTTCAGCATCTCTCAAGCATGCCTAATTATTTCTGGACTGCAAGTATTGACAGCTCCAAATATAATATTCTCTTCACAACTGGCTGTTAAACATGGCTGGGAAGTGCTGGAAAGCAAGACAGTGCTATGTTGTAAGAATCTCCTGTGTACCTTAAAACAAAGTCAGTTTTTCTATAATACTAAATTGTGCACTTCATATTTTTGTTTTTCTACAGGCTGATTATGGAAGAAGTACACAAAAACAGCAGCAGCAATTCTACATCTCCTCAAGCAGCGTCTTTACAAGGTACCACTCTACAGGCAGCTCAGCTTTCTCGTGTTTCTCAACAGGTAAAGAAAGCTATGTAAGGTTAGGTCTCCTGAGGATTTTTTAAAGCACATTAATTGCAATTGTCCCGTGCAATCTGGTGTAGTTTCATTAAATATGTGTGAATGCAAAATTTCAGAGACCTACTTAGTCAGTGTTTTTCCTCAATAAATTTGAAAATACATTCAAATATGCTAGGTATTTGGCCTGTCCCGTAATATCTAAACACTCCTCCTCCATTGGTTTTGGATCCTTATAAGTGTTGACCAACTCATTCATGAAAATAGAAGGGTCTGGTTATATGGAGTACTTCTGAAAAGCTGTCTTCTAACCAGAGACCTCTGATATATCTCCTGAATCTTTATAAAAGTGGTTGATCTGCTTTTTTGTTCAGATTTTTTTCCTTCCAAAAGTCTGTAGTACTAAAAAGAAGACAGGAGCAAAACAGGGAGTGTCTTCTGATCAAGCCCTGATGTAGCAAACGCTATTCTTCTTCTTCGTGGTCTCTGTGAATGCACACTAACGGGTTTCATCTGTGACTTTGCAGAGGTCTCCGGAATATTCCAAAGCTTTATGCTATGTTCGTGAAGGACCACCGCCCTAGCCCACAAGGTCCGCCCACCCTCACAGTTACTTCAGTTCCTTTTTACCACCTCCGCATGAGGTCTCGAGCTGCTGCGTTTGTTAGATATTTCTATTAAAAAGCAATAATAGGACCATTTTTCTTCAACTTTTGATTTCTAATCAACGTTTACCATAACATAGTTAGATAAGTACATTATTTGGACTTTTCCCCTTTTCTCCCACCATTTATGGCACGCCTCCCCCCCTTCAAAAAGTTCATGTCGTGCTCTAATAAAATTCCCCTTACAGATGGCCACAATATCTGCTTGTTCTGTTTGGGGGAAGCCCACCAAACATCATCTTGCCAATTTTGTAAAAACCTTACAAAACAAGCAATAAATTAAGACAACAAAGTCTCAAGTCTTTTATCTTAGAGAAATCTTTTTAAACCTCAGACAGTGGATACGCCTCATACAGCGCAACCCCCCCCAGACAATCTCCAGTTCTATCAACAGTCTCTTCATCCGCCAAATCATCTGCTGAAATTACCCAAAAATCAAAATCGAAACCACTGAATTCGGAGATGTCAGCACTGATATCGAAGTCCCCTTCCATATCAGACACCTCTAAAACTAAGGGTTGCCACACTAAGAAACAAAAGAAAGCAGCTGATACCCTTCTGCAAAAACCACCCTCACCCACAGTGACGATTGAGTCTCCAGAGGACATTCTGATACCACCATCAGGTCAACTTGAGTCACCTATCCTCGCTGTCTCTCCAACACCTCTGGTTCATACCACGGACATTACAGTGATCCCAACTTCACCACACTCCAGCTCTATATCGACAGTGTGATCAGTGTTGGCTTATGAATCCGACCAGTGTGATCAGGCACCCAACGTTTCTCCTCCCTGCAAGAGGTCAAGGAAAGAACATCAAACTTCTCATCATCAATACCATGGTGCCGATACCATGAGACCCGTTACTCCACCTGGGTCCTTCACGCCCCGAGAGCGGTACAGAAGACATAGGCAATCCCAGAGCGTCAGGCTATATGAACCTCCTCAGTACAATGACCCATCCCGTGAAAGCTCTCGTTATGGAGCATATTTGAACCCTTCTGCTGAGCTTGAACTCCATCCAGGAAGGCGACATTGACATTACTGATTCCCACTATTCCAAATCATCCATATTGCCCAGATACAGACCAAGGTACCGTGAAGGTTACCAATCCCAATCATTATCAGACGATGACTCCATTTCATCTGCCTCAGTATGGAGACACAACCAACTAAACAAAAAACGGACCAGCCTCAGCTTAAACACACGGTACGGAAACAAACCTCGGTACCAGGCCAACATGAACAAGCTGACGAACCTGCCTTGCAGTATACTGATCAGACGGTGGCTACTGGTACCAAACCAGTAAAGGGCATACCAGAGATTGCAAGTCTGTGATACCGAATCAGACGACTCCATCTAAACTCCAGCATACATTAGGAAACAGCTCCTGTTCAACATTACCCTACCTCTCCCGCCCAGTCATCTCATTCTTCTGACTCTTCTCACTTGGTCATTGACCAAGAATCAATGCCCAATTTGCCTACACCGGATTCTGATACCCTCACCAATAATCCACCCTTCCAATGATTTTTTCTCATATTCACAACTAATTATCAGAATAGCCAAGGCCATGGAGCTTGTTATACAAGAGCCATCACAAAGACAATCTGATAAGGTCTTCAAGGATATTAATGATGAACAAACTCTACCACCTAGCATGAGCGTCATTCTGGCCTTGCTAGAACTCACCAAACAAATGTGGTCAAAACCATCTTCAGTACCACAAATATCTAAAAAAGTTGAAAACCTTTATAAAACGCACTGTGAAAATACCACATTCTTGTTTAAACATCTGCCTTCAAACTCACTGATTGTTGACGCGACACAAAATAGGACACACAATCGCTCCACCACAACCCCTAACAACAAAGAAGGCAGAAAACTTGACATAGCAGGTCGCAGGGCCTATTCCTTAGCTTCATTCGTTCTTCGGGGTGCCAACTACATTGCAGCAATGGGAGCATACCACCGCTATTTGTGGAATAAAGCACTCCCATCTCTCCAATTTGCTGTGGGAGAGTACGAAGCATGCGGCCTTGCATTCCATGGGCCTCGCATGTCAAGAAAGAATTACAGCTAGGCAGATCATAGATGCATCATCATGACAGCTGGTTTCTGCAGTGGCATTGCGTAGATATTCATGGTTAAGAGTAACACATATCCCAGATGATATCAAGTACCCCAAGAATTAAGTACCCTTTTCTCAAGGAATGCCATATTTCTCGTCAGTACCCCTTTAACCATCTACATTTTCCCTTTTCATCACTTGAAGACTCTGAATAGAGATGGAGGATTTAAATTCATTCATTCATTCATTCTAGAAAACTAAGCTAGTACATCATACAAAGGAATTTTCGCAAGGAACACTAGAATGGACTTTATTACTTCTTCTTCTTCAAAAAAAGCAATGGACTCACCACCATCGATTTAATCAATGCATGTTGTCACATCACCGTACATCACATTCATTGAAAATTCCACAATCAGGCTTATGATATCAAGGCCCTTTCCTTCAATCTCCTTGCACCATCATAAGTGTTCATGAAAGGCATGGCACCTATGCTAGCTTACCTACATAGAACATCAGTTTGTTGCCTCCCAACTTTAATCCAAGGAGGTCACAGGACACCCAAACAATCCTTCCTCCCCTTCCGGATCTCGGTCTGAAAGTCAACACAGTAAAACAAACAAACAAACAAACTACTCACCTCAGTCTTGGTGTTTTGCTCCTGCTAATCTAATGTCACATCTATCGTCTAGCAGATTCACGATCACCTGCAACTACCATCTCAGCTATTTTGCTGGAACAGACAACACAACCTCGTAGCAGATTCACGATCACCTGCAACTACCACCTCAGCTGGAACAGACAACACAACCTCATCAGGGCACAACTTTTGTTCCCTTAAAACTGCTGCTACAGAACACTACACACGACAACACCACTGGACAGGATGCGAATTGTGGAAATCCAAGGAAACATGTTACCGAAAAAGGCTGCACAATGGCACCTACATATAAACAACCTACAACGCCTAACTGCTTCCAGGCATTCATACCGTTCAGATCTCTTATCCGAGGCAAGGTGGCCGGGTCACAATGGACAACATCACTGCACCTAATTTTGCAACGGTGCATCCAACACCATATATTCCCCATGACATTATATATTGTCACAAAAGACAATCAAGGAGCAAGCATACTCAGCATAATGAATACCAACAACACTGGTCACTAGACCATACAATTTCTCCCTTACCGTGCAAGATCTGGAATTCCCTCACATCGATACCTCTGCAACACACCAATATACCAAGGCATCCTCTGTCACTCAACACCGGACATGGGCCACAGACCCCTACAGGATGCCCTCATGACAGATTTAACTTTCACCTCATATATCTATTCCTGCCTATCATTCTCCATCTAAAGGCAATAGACAAAATCATGAAAGATCATACCAAGAAAATACTGTTCTATGGTAGCCAAACAACTCTGGCTCACTATATTATAAACCATTACCAACAACTATTTCTGCCTACCTCCCATACCCCACCCTCTCACTCTACATCATGACAGGGCTCACCAGCAGCATCCTCCACCTTAAACTCTGAGAATCCTCCCTCAGTGAATGATATCTTGGTCCATGTTGGGAAACCCCCCACAATCAAACTTTATTCACCGAAATGGATAATTATCTCTACACTTCCCCTTCAACATAACTTACCTATCAAACTGATAACCTCAGACCAATTCTGATAACCTACAATTCCTCTCTTATCTGTTGGCAAACAACTATCACTCGCTGCGCTCAAAAATTGCATTTCAGCTTTTATAGCAGACCAATCACCTGATCCAAATGCTGCAGTGATTTCAAACATCCAACCATAAACCGTTCCTTCAAGAGTGACCAATACTCAACTGTTGCCAACCCCACCTACTCCTCAGTGGTCTCTGTCAAATCTGTTACACAGACCATTTGTCCTCCCTTCAAGCTTCCAGCTACCACATAGGAACACATCTCCTCTCTCAAAACAATTAATCTACCGACCTTTCTTCTGTACCCTACTGCTGATCTAGACAGATCAACACATGTATTAGACACCGAAGGGCCCAGGCCTTCTACACCTACAGTACAAGATGGCCCCATTCACAGAGTCTAAAGACTGTTTATGTCAACATACAACCCGCAATGGGTTATTCGGATATCCTCACTGACAGTATCCCGATGCATTATCTACCCTATACAACTGACATAACAACTTGCCAAGCAACCTTTACCTTAAGGTATTAAGGCTCATTTGGTGAAGATGACAGTCTCCTCTGCAGCGCCCTTCCACAAAGTCCCATTGATGGACATTTGCAAACTGCTACTTTGGCAACACGTTCAATGCTTGCCTCCCATTACAAGGTGGATGCAAGAGCCAAGGTAGACGCTGCCTCTGGGAGAACTCTGTTTTTCCAGTCCTTCCATGACATCCCTCCACCTGCAAGGTAAGCTTCTTAGTCACCCATTAGTGTGCATTCACAGAAGAAAGAGAGGTTACTTACCTGTAACTCTGGTTCTTCGAGTGGTCATCTGTGAATTCACACTTCCTGCCCGTCCTCCCCTCTGTCCGTCACTCCTGTATCCTTTGATGCAGCGGCAGGCTATGTTGGGAACTGAAGTAACTGTGAGGGCGGGCTGACCTCGTGGGCTAGGGGGCGATCCTTCATGAACATAGCATAAAACTTTGGAATATTCCAGAGACCTCTGCGCAGGCACAGATGAAACCCATTAGTGTGAATTCACAGATGACCACTTGAAGAACCAGAGTTACAGGTACGTAACCTCTCTATTTTAATGATCTTATGCATGTGTTCTGCTTAAATTGTGTTGGAAAGAACAGAAGAGATGCAGTAGTAGTGCTTGATGGCATCTCCCAAATTAATGTCTTTAGGTTTACTAAGAAATCTTCCGAATTTCAAAACTTGACTTGTTCATGCCCAGCAAAATAAATGATTACATGGTATTTTAGAGTGACTGTAAAGTTTAAATTAATACCTAACATAAACTACCTTTTGGCTTTCCTATGTGCTTTGCCTGAGAAAATTCTGTGTGTGTTTGTATAAAAAAAAAATTGCCTTCCAAAATGGGAACTTTCCACCTCTGTTGAATTTTGTACTTTTTCTGCTACCTGCTACTGTCATCCACCTTTCTCCCAGTGAAGAAACTCAAGGTGATGTAAAACAGCTTTTTAAAAGTATGTTTAGAATCACAACAAATTAAGATACAAATATTAAATCTAAACCATGTTGAAACAACTCTTATTTAAACAAATTTCAAACACATAATAGTAACAAAAATGCCACATTCCCTGCTTAAAAACTCCAGTCCTGCCAGGGCATTCACAGATCCCAGGTCAGTTTAAGAAAAGGAAGGTTTTTACCTGCTGGTGAAGGGACTCTGAGAAGGGAGCCAGCCTCACATGGGAAGGAATGCCGTAGATTGGGAACAGCCCCTGAACATGCCCCTTCGTTAACCTCCAAATGTTCAATGGAGGTGGGACCAAGAGAAAGCCCCTCCCTCAAAAATCTCAGCAAGGGAACTAGGCATTTGCTGTGTTCTGGGTATAGAATGTCATGAATTCCACTGCTGAGAGTATCTGCTGTGATGTCATGTAGAATGGGCACTGCAGGTGAAGTGTGTCAAGGCTGAAAAGAGCATTTGGCTCAGCGGAACCAATTTTAAAAAGCGGACTTAGGTTGGAAATTCAGTACTGCCCCACCTCAGCCTTAAGTGCATTTACATATACTTCCCAGGCTGTACATTTTGTAGTTTAGCTAATAATTGCTTCATTCATTATAGATGTCCCTTAGAGGTCCAGCTCCACTGACACCTTTCACAAAAGCTGTACCGCTCTGTGGGGATCAAGTCCAAGGCGTCATTCATACTGCTCAGACCTCTTCTGTAATTCACTCGCCACAAGGGCAATCGGTGCAGGTAAATCACCAACTTTCTGTATCAACTTACTCAGTTTTAATTTTAGTGCATTTTAATCCATCTGGTCCTGCCAGGACAATAATATTGTATGCTCCAAAGGTGAGAGAGAGAGAGAGAGAGAGATGAGAAAGCAATCTAGCAGAAGTCCCAACATGAATTATTATTGTTGGGATTAATATTATGGTTATTTTGTGTGCCCAATATTTTGTTAAACCCAGCCAAAATTAATAACGAAAACTAGTCCTCGTCAATGGCTTGACACAGCAAGACATGAACAGGCTATGTTATAGGAAGTGAAATGAATCTACTAACTTAACTGGAATAGGACATAGACACAACTGAAATTATGTCTAATATTTCAAAGATATGAAATGATGTTGAGATGCTTTGCAACAAGTGTATGTCGCTTGTATCTATAAACATCTGGTTTCAGTTATCCTATCTGAGACTGTACCTCAAAATGCACCATATAAGCATGTTAAATTGCTCAGTATTTGGCTCAAATGATTTCTCTCAGACGGAAGGGAATTATTATGAAGTGATTACTTTTTGTGGCACATGGATAGAAAAAAAAATATACGTACAATAGATGTCAACATTTAAACTTACAAACATCTCTGAAAAATTCTTGTGCTTGGGAATGCAGAGTTAAACCAGAGGGCTGCATGTCCCTCCTTATGCAGAGCCCAGTGCTTTAGTTTATGAAAAAAAATTGAAGAAGTGAGGGTCGAGCACTGACATGACTCATTTATTGAATCATACCTAGTACTGCTTGTGGGGGTGGAGGAGAAGACTGCATAACCCCAGAGATATACCGGGTAAGCTACAACCTCAAGGAAAGGCTCCATGAGCTGCTAGCATTTCCCAAGCAATTTTGTTTTAAGAAGGTTGTTTTTGTTGCCTCTCTTACTTTCAGTATTAAAGAGTGTATATGCAAGGAAATAAATCCTTCCCTTAGACCTCCTTTCCATCCGTTATGTTCAAGGAAGACAGTTCTCTGCGCCTGCCCCTAAAAAAGAGGCGTATAGCATGTAGAAAGAACTGCCAGGGCCTGTATGCCGTCAGACATCTATCTTGTTAGTGAGTCAGTGTCTAGTTAGAACTTGGCACTGTGGTTTGGACAGCAGGAAACTCCCCCACAGAAGGAGGAATTCATACATGCTGTGTTGCAATTAGACCTGTAACCAAGATTATGTGTAAGTAACTGAAATACTCATGAATGTATTGCCTGTTAACCCCTGCTTCTCCCTCTCCCTTATTTATGCAGTGTTGTAATTTGGATTATAGGTCCCTGGGACAAGGAGCAGTCCGCCTGTACTCTGTAGCATGCATTGCCCACTAACATTGCTATATACGTTGTTGTTGTTTACTCGTTAGGTCATGTCCAACTCTTCATGACCCCATGGACCAGAGCACGCTAGGCCCTCCTGTCTTTCACTGCCTCCCGGAGTTGGGTCAAATTCATGCTGGTAGCTTCAATGACATTATCTAACTATCTTGTCCTCTTTCGTCCCCTTCTCCTCTGGCCCTCACACTTTCCCAACATCAGGGTCTTTTCCAGGGAGATTTCTCTTCTCATGAGAAGACCAAAGTATTGGAGCCTCAGTTTCAGGATCTGTCCTTCCAGTGAGCACTCAGGGTTGATTTCCTTCAAAATGGATAGGTTTGATCTCCTCGCAGTCCAGGGGACTTTCAAGAGTCTCCTCCAGCACCACAATTCAAAAACATCAATTCTTTGGCTGTCAGCCTTCTTTATGGTCCAGCTCACTTCCATACAACACTAGCGGAAAAACCACAGCTTTGACTATGTGGACCTTTGTCGGCAAAGGGATGTATCTGCTTTTTAAGATGCTGTCTAGATTTGTCTTCGCTTTCCTCCCAAGAAGCAGGCGTCTTTTAATTTCGTGGCTGCTGTCACCATTTGCAGTGATCATGGAGCCCAAGAAAATAAATCTGTCACTGCCTCCATATCTTCCCCTTCTATTTGCCAGGAGGTGATGGGACCAGTGGCCATGATCTTAGTTTTTTTGATGTTGAGCTTCAGACTGTTTTTTGCACTCTCCTCTTTCACCCTCATTACGAGGTTCTTTAAGTCCTCCTCACTTTCTGCCATCAGAGTGGTATCATCTGCATATCGGAGGTTGTTGATATTTCTTCCGGCAATCTTAATTCCGACTTGGGATTCATCCAGTTCAGCCTTTCGCATGATTTATTCTGCATATAAGTTAAATAAGCAAGGAGATATTGTACTCCTTTCCCAGTTTTGAACCAATCAGTTGTTCCATATCCAGTTCTAACTGTTGCTTCCTGTCCCACATATAGATTTCTCAGGAGATGGATAAGGTGGTCAGGCACTCCCATTTCTTTAAGAACTTGCTATAGCTTGCTGTGGTCCACACAGTCAAAGACTTTTGCATAGTCATGCAGAAGTAGGTCTTTTTCTGGAACTCTCTGGCTTTCTCCATAATCCAGCACATGTTAACAATTTGGTCTCTAGTTCCTCTGCCCCTTTGAAACCCGGCTTGTATTTCTGGGAGTTCTCAGTCCACATACTGCTGAAGCCTACCTTGGAGGATTTTGAGCATAACGTTGCTAGTGTGTGAAAT